GTAGCTACGTGCGGGTTTCGTGGTTTTTGCGTGAAAGCGTGTTGTTTCACTGGAGTTCTGAGGCCTGAGATTTTCTTTCAGAGCCATCAAGATCGCTGAGACTGACCGTGTCACAGCAAGGTCGCGCGTCCAGTAAACAAATCGGTTAAAGTGAGTTGCGTGTTTTGCATGAGTGGAAAGTCCTCACGCTCGGCTACCGGTACTTCATGTACCGGGACGTCGAGTAAAGGGCCCGACGGCAGAGGTACCGATATTTTTCTCGGTCTCCCCCGCTGATTGGAGGGCATCCTCACAGTCTGTTTTTTCAGGCGGTGTTTTTACCCGATTTCACCGGCTGCAGCGAGGCTGTGCCCCTGGAGGCTTTCCTCCTATGGGGCTCGTTGCGGGTCTCTTTGTGGACCCTTCCTCGCACGGCGCCGGGTTTGCCTATGAGTTGAGGGCTTTGGTCGAAGGACTGTCGGGGCAATTGCGTCCCTGGCAGGCCGGGTAGATCAGACGCAGTCGGAGCGAGCTGTCTCCACTGTGTCCCTCGGTGGGCAAGCAGGAAGAGACACGAAAGCATGTTTGCATTCAAACACGTCCCTTCCGGGGGAACTCCCGTTCCCAGGCACGGCTCTCCCACTATTTTGGGGGGTGGCCGAGGCTCAGGCTAATTGCACCGGTCCTTCTCTGGATCCTCGGGCACTGAATGCCAACGGGGTGCTGGCAGCCAAGTCTCCGATCTCGGGGCAGGGCTTTCAGGGCAGGGCACACGTTGACCCCCCCTACTTTCAGCCAGCTAGGGTTCGTCACGCAGTAACGGTACAATGGTAACGAATTTTTCCTTGTGTCCGGTCTCCGCTGTGGGTTTTGACTCCTTCCTTACCGACCCACGGGCGTTCCCAGAGGGAACCGACCCTGTCATGAGACGCACAGTCAAACACGCTCCCTCTCACATATTTAAAGTGAAAGGAGATGCAGTTCGCTCGCGTCGGATACAGCCGGTACACCGGGCGGTCCCTCAGAGTCTTCCATCTGTATGACTCGGTGAGCCACGCTTTTGGGGTGAGGCGGAGTATCATCGATCCCAGTGGTACGATGTATATACCCCCACTCTTGATCCTAAAGCGACCACCCAAGGTTGCTTCAACGCTTGTGGGATCACAGGCGTCGGGATCCAAAGCAACCCCGTCGGCAAGTCTCTCCCTGTCCGCCTAAGTGCGGAGTGGGGCGCAGAGCACGCAAATGGTGTTGATGGGCGGCATTGGTCAGCCGTGGAGGATGTAATGCTTAAGGCCCCCGGGTGGGGATAACATTAGGCAACGCTTCCCACTGGACCAAACGCTACCCGGTCGGTGTGGTTTCGGGATCAGACCCCATAGCGTGGGATGAGACCAAAACACCCCCAACCGGATTCCAAGGCTCCTTCCCCAGACCCCAGTACCACGAATTTGGCAAACCGGGCAAAGGGGGATAGCCGCGTTCCATGGGTGTCTTTGCCAATTGAAGACGACCCATCCAGCCCTGAGGGCAGAGTTGCTTGAGCACATTATTATGCTCTGGAGACCTTGGAGGCAGAACGCACCAGCCTCCTAGACCAGGCGACATTTTTACTGGTGGGCCACCACACATCTACATGCGACACCCCCTAGTGTCGCCTGGCTCTCTTGGCCAGGGCCACTACCGTGCTACTAGACGCGGCCTTAGACGCACGTGTTTTCGCCGACAAGCTGAGCCGGGGTATTGAGCAGGGTCTCTTCAGGTTAGGCCCCGTCGTAGCGGGTCAGGCCTTCTTTGCTGACCTAGCCCGAACGACTGCAGGGGCCTCTGCGCATAGGCGATAAGTCAGTCTCCGCATTTTTGCAGGCAGATTGTCGGTTCCACTAGCACTTCCTGGAAGCTCCCAGGTTTTGCTTCTTTCGACCTACGCCCTCATGCGAACTGTTTCGGTCCTACTTCAAGCTTATCACCCCCGAATTCGGCTTGGGTCTAGCTTTCTCGGGCGAACCCTGTCACCACAGCAGCATTGGTTTTCTTGCTTCGGGGACAGCACAGGCAAGGTAAGACACCACCCTTCTTGGGTCTTAACTTAGGTTTTTGAGTTTGTTTTCATCCCGGTACTGGGAAAAGACTTTCATCATCCTTTTTTTTCTGTTTGCTCGGAAAAACCCGCCACCTATCGGTGTCTGACTCTGCCTACAGTTCAAAATAGTCATTTTGACTGACCGGAGTCTATGGTGGGTAATTGAACGTAGTGAATTTAGGCGAGGGTTTGTGTTGATAAACATTGATTTTCCCACAATCCAATGCGCTCTTCGAATGGAAATAATAAGTATGAGGGTCGACCTGCGCGCGACTTGCATTAAATACACCGGTGTCTCCTTCGATACCATTAAAGCTCATAACGTCTCAGTTTATACTAGCTGATCTGCGCAACTGTCGAAGTCGCCATCTTAGTTTATATGAGACCCATATATCTCGCGCATGCGTGGCGCGACGACTACCGCCCTTTAAAATTTCTATTCATGTGGTTTGAAGTAATATTGGTCAAATATGAATATCCAATAGAATCCAAAATGGCGGCACCTCAAACGTAAAGTTTAAAATCTTGTCTGTAAAATGTTAAGGTGAGAACCTTAACCGAATACATTTCCTAATCGGCACCTATATTATTAATAAAATTAT